GTCCCTCTCCTCGCAGCCCCTTTGTCATGCAATGGAGCGGCCGATCAGGGCCTGGCGCCAGGGGGCACGAGCCGGCCCCGCCGGCCGGGACACACCGGGAGCACCGGCCACCTGGAACCCCCTCCGTTTTCCTGCCTCCTTCCTTCATAATCCAGCACCTCGAGGCAGCAGCACCTCTGTTCTGTGAGTTGAGCCCCCGCTCTGGGTCAGACGATGTTGTGTGGTGGGATTTAGAGGATTTATCATAAACCTACGTTCCCATTTTCCACTTTTTTTTTTTTTTGTTGTTGTTACACAGATTCGGGCTGAAATACTTTTCTCTTGAAATGCAAAAAATCACCTTCACAAGGTGTACATTTCATTCTTGGCAGTGATTTCGTTACCAGCACCATTTTTCCCCTCTCCTAGGCAGCAGGTACAAAAGACATGTAACACTTATGCAAACTCCTGGGAAAGTTTTGGGTTCTTAAGACCTTAAGTTCCCTAGAACCCCCAAATTGCTAATTCTGTTCAGAGAAGGAGCTGCTTTTGCCACAGAAAAATAAAATGTGTCCCACAGTCCATTGAAATGGCAGCATCTACAATAGGAAGTCACTTCTGCCTTGAATCTTTAAAGGGACTCATCCCTCAGGTTTATTAAAAACTACTTAAAAACACTTTATATTATAGTCAGGTTGTCTGAGAAGCCTGGTTTGACAATACAGATAGAGTCAGCTTTCATTGTAGCAGTAATTTGTGTTCATTTAACGTCTTGCTTGAGCTTAATTTGTCCCCTTTGGAATGACTGCCATTTTTCTGATCAATTCAGATGTGCCCTTGTCCTTCGTGCAAGTCAATACTCATGAAAATCAAGCTGATCAGGAAAGAAAGAGGGGCATTCAGAGCCAGTGCCTGCCCGCTTCCCAGCCCCAAAACACTACGTTCCCATTTTCCACTTTTTTTTTTTTTTGTTGTTGTTACACAGATTCGGGCTGAAATACTTTTCTCTTGAAATGCAAAAAATCACCTTCACAAGGTGTACATTTCATTCTTGGCAGTGATTTCGTTACCAGCACCATTTTTCCCCTCTCCTAGGCAGCAGGTACAAAAGACATGTAACACTTATGCAAACTCCTGGGAAAGTTTTGGGTTCTTAAGACCTTAAGTTCCCTAGAACCCCCAAATTGCTAATTCTGTTCAGAGAAGGAGCTGCTTTTGCCACAGAAAAATAAAATGTGTCCCACAGTCCATTGAAATGGCAGCATCTACAATAGGAAGTCACTTCTGCCTTGAATCTTTAAAGGGACTCATCCCTCAGGTTTATTAAAAACTACTTAAAAACACTTTATATTATAGTCAGGTTGTCTGAGAAGCCTGGTTTGACAATACAGATAGAGTCAGCTTTCATTGTAGCAGTAATTTGTGTTCATTTAACGTCTTGCTTGAGCTTAATTTGTCCCCTTTGGAATGACTGCCATTTTTCTGATCAATTCAGATGTGCCCTTGTCCTTCGTGCAAGTCAATACTCATGAAAATCAAGCTGATCAGGAAAGAAAGAGGGGCATTCAGAGCCAGTGCCTGCCCGCTTCCCAGCCCCAAAACACACTCTGGGAACTAATGAGCCATAAGGAGGAAGGCGTATTAACAAACCACCACATCAAGGAATTCTTTTCTTCCTCCTCTTAGCTGGATATATTGGATTAAAAAGCCACTGTGACTGACTCACAGACGAGAAAGTTTTGCATGCTTGTGTCCCACTTGTAGGTCAGCAAGACCACAATAATTGAGACAGGAAGATGTTTCCCGTGGAAAGGATCCAAATTGTTTGGCTGGCAACACAGCTCAGGCTGTGTGCTTTGTACATACCCTCTTCTCATTGACAGCAAAACTGTTTCTAGCCTGAACTTGTGAACCCATTTGTCGGGGCTGTTGAGACAGGAAAACAACAACAAACAACGACAACACAAGCCATGTCAGACTTTTTATTTCCAACTTCTGCAAGACTGCATTAGTTGCTGATGGATGCAGAGAAAACCTCCCAGCAGGTTCTTCTCTTTACATGCACATGGTAATACTGCAACTTTACAGTATCAGAACCCTGTCTCTAAAACACTTCTGCCTGACTGCAAGCGTTGGGTTGTTTTGCTTTTTTGTAAAAAAAAGACTTAAGTTTTGATATTGTTGACATTTCTGACCTATATTTTTGCCCTCGTGATTCCAAATGCTACTGCAGCAAACATTTCCAAGCTATGTGGACCCATCCTGTGCTGTCCTCAAATTATAAAATACACTGTTTATGTGGTTTTGAGTCCCATGATCACAAATCAAAGTTACAGGAATGAGAACCTGTGGAAAACAGAAGCAGGTGCAGCTGGGCCTGAGTCCCACCAGGAGTGCAGAGTCAAACAGGCTCTGCCAGGGGAGAATCATCTTCAAGACAGGCCCCTCCTGACCAAGACAGTTCATCATAATGAAATTGAGGCTTCTCTGATTTGAAAGAGTAAAATTTTCATCTGTCTGCCTGGATGAGATGTAACTTTGTTTAAACTAGATCTTAGAAATGGCTTTAATGTAATTATTTCAGCCAGCACGACCCATTTCACAGGCTCTTCCCACACCACCGACCCCAGCTCAGAGCACATTTCAATGGGGTCTTGAAGCAGGGACTAAAACAACGTTTGTTTTTTGGGTTGTTTTGTTTTTTTTTTTAAATTTTGTTTTGCTTTTTTAAGCACCTCGTGTGCCACGGGGCAAGCTCTGAGAAAACACACACATCTGCACAGTAAAATCCTTTTCCTGTCTGGTTGGGTTTTTAGCAACGACTGTTTCTGCTGCTCAGGCTCGTTTTCTGACACTTCTCTATTGAGTCTATTAAGATGTTAACAAGGGGTAAACAGTGTGGGAAAACAACCCCCCAAGGCACCTACTGGCTCCGGAAACCACTGGGCAGAACAGAGATGATAAATAATAGAAGGAACCCTGCAAAGACCTTCCTTTGGCTTCTCACTTGTTTTTGAGAGGCACTTAGGAAAAAGAGGTCCAGATAAAGAGGCCCAGACACCCAACAGGCACTGGTACATACTTAAATTAGACCTTTCTCCCCACATACAGAACTAGAAATACTTACAGGATTAAAACCTTTTTTTTCTTTTCAACACAATGTTAAGAAAGTAAAACTCAACAAGACAGTTCAATTTTGTTGCTAACCAGCTCTACGTGTTTCTACAGTGAACCCAAAGGCACAGAAAAGGGCACATTTAAGCACCTATAAAACTGAATTTGGAGGTATTTCCACACCAGAATCCTAGCCCAGCCAGTTTAGCTCACTGGAGCAGTGGAGCACAACATCACTCCCAAATTCCTTAGCCCTTCCTGTTTCTTACCAATCCTTTTCAACTCCAGATAATGAACTTTCTGTACAGTGAAGGCAACCAGCTCCTGCTCTTACCACCTTCTCCCTCCTTTCTAAAGGAAGGAAGACAAGGAATACTTTCCCAAAGAAAAGCAGCCCTAATTCAGCAGG